ACAATGGTTAAAAAATAGCGATAACCTTCAGTGGTCATTGGTGTGAAGGGCCCCCATATGTCACAGTGTATTAGGTCAAAAGGCAAAGCAAACAAAGAATTGGAAGAAATAAAGGGCAGTCGGCGTTGCTTAGCAAAATGACATATTGAACAATGAGAAGAATCATTTGTAATATCAGTAATTTTCAATTCATTTCTCAATGTGTGAATCTTTACATAAGAGGGATGTCCCAACCTATAATGCCAAATTTCATTTTCTGTTAAAGTAAAATTATTACAATCTGCTGTAGACCTAGGGAAAACTGGTAAATGACTAGAGGAATCAGGAGCTAGGCTTGTAGAGTCCAAGACGTAGAGGTTTCGTTCTCTTCTACCCATCCCAATCATTCGGCCCTGAATATGGTCCTGGAGCACACAAGAGGCAAAATGGAAATTAACAGACAAATGATGACTCTGGGTGAGTGAGCTGACCGACAAGAGATTAAACCGAAATTGTGGCACATAGAGAACATTGTGAAGAATGAGGTTATTTGACAAAGGAACAGATCCTATACGAGTGACTTCTACGGTGAGACCAGTGGGCAACGAAACAAAAAAGTTGGTTATAGGTCTAGAGTGATCAAAACATGATAAGGAGCAACAAACATGGTGTGTTGCTCCCGTGTCCAGAAAAATTTTCCCTTCCCACAATAAGAGAATTTCGGCCACAATAAAATATTAGGTCAAAAAATTGTTCAAAAATTGTGTTTCACAATTTTCTATCATTCTCTTATTTATAGAGTAGAAGTCAAACTTCTAGAAGGAATCTAATCTCTATCTCCAAGATAAAGCTTGTTAATTATCTCCTATTTGAATTTGGAACAAAATCTCCCCTTCTATTTTATCCATTATGGCCGGCCATAGATAAGGGATTTTATCCCTGTGTAGGCGCCAATAGCAGATAGGGAAGCAAGAGAAAATCATCATTTATCCTGCAGTCCAATTTTGACTCAAATTCAAATTCCAATTTAAGTCAAACTTAAATTAATTTGAATTCTCAATTCAACAACTTATCAAATAAGTTTAAATGAATAAAACTAGATGTGTTCAAATTCAAATTTAAATAATCACATTATTTAAATAAGAATTAATCCTCAATTAATTATTTTCTGAGTGTTTAATTTTTAGAATTCTATAATTCTAAAATTCTAATTTTGCCTTTTGTGTCTGGTAGAATTACAAGGTCGACGCGGGGACTAATGGACCTATAATCCCGAGCTCCAAAAAAATTAATAATTATTAATTAATTCTATTAATTCCAATAGTTATTCCACTATAAACTTGGAATTGCACTCTCGAAATTATAAACATAAATTACTTCTAAACTGTGAAGTGTCCATTTGATATAGACACTGCATATAGATCAATCCTCCATAAATAATTCATAATTAGAGCTAGGTAGAATCCGTTTACCTCTCTAATTATATCTTTATCCTTAAGTACCATTGATTCTCCAATGGACAGTGATTCATAAAACACATTCATGAATCGGAGCTCCTACTGGTCCAAGTACCGAATCAACCCTCAAGAGAATTATTTATCTACTTCTATCAAGAAGGAATGGATTCCATCTCGTATAATAACATTCCCAGCTACCTACTTCATCATGTCTCCAAAATACAAGGAATAGGATTCAGGATCTCAGAATCTGTACCGAGTAAATTAAAAGACACAAATCTATAAATAGGAGTCTGTTAAGAACTCAGGATTAAGGTCATTCTATATATGACCATCAATAGACTCAATTAGAATTTCTATACTCAACAGATATTATTAGAAATTCATATTGTGTCTATGTCCTTGTTCCACATAATCTCATTATGTGAAATACTCTCATTCAATATCTCGTCATATTAACAGTGTGGATAACACTGCTCCATTCTAAATGGGAATGACATGTATTAATAATGTTTTAATTAAAGATTCTGAACTTTAATTAAATTCATTATGAACACCGTTTTTTATTATTATCCTTAAACATTATCCTCTCGCATATAACACGTATATACAACGTTTAAGGTCACATAAATAATCATAGAATTTTCATTTGATATTCATAAAATATTCATAAATATATGCACATAAAATAATGAATAAACTCTTTTATTAAATAAATAATAAATATCCTATTACATATCATGCTTCTAGGACATCATTCCCAACAGTTAAACCTAGTTTTAGTTCTAGAATTTGATGCTAAACTTGGTTTTAGTTCTAAATAGAAGTTTTAAACTATTTTCTAAAAAAAAATACTGCATAACTGTCAAAACAGTTTTGGTGTTAAACATAAGAGTTCATTAAGAACTCAAAGTATAATCTCAAGAAGATATTTTGAGTTTGAACCTTGTTTAATTAAAAGTAAGGTTATGGGGATTTGATAAACCTAATCTTTAAATTAGAAACAAGGTTTCATAATCCATTAAGGTAAAAAAGAGAAAGAAAGTCATAAATAGAGAAGTTAGACTTTCTTACAAGCTTTCTAAAATAGAATAGCAAGTGATAGTAAATCTCACACTCTTAGTAGGTGTTTATTCTCATAAACAAGAAAGAAAGAGAACAAACTCCTTGGCGAATAGAGGATTCCACTTCCTAAAACAGGTAAGTAGGAATCTCGCCTACAGTATAAATAGATTTTAAAATAAACTGTACACATGAATTATATATGTTTGAGTACATTTAATGTTATGTACGCTATGCTATGTCATACTGCATACACTTAAGCAGTGCACATGAATTATATGTGTTTGAGTACATTCCATGTTACAGTATGCTATGCTATGTCATATAACATACACCTTAATAAGTCAAGAAGAACTTATAAGAAGAATCTCAGTTGAGTGCCGTACCAGCCTTTGAGAGGGAGGTAACTCAGGCTCCGCAAAAGAGAAGAAAAAAAAATATAATAATAATGTCCTCTGAGAGGCAGGCATTCAGTTCAGTTATAATCATGGTGTCGTTGGGGACCTTGCAAACCCCCACGTCCCAATGATTGCGCACAAGTGGTACGAGCACTCAGGCCCATCAATAAGTAAGATAAGTTCAGATAATAAGTTCAGACAGTAAAACTATGATAAAATATCATAAGTCAGCATAATCAGTTCATGCATATATAGTCATGTGAACTTTCAGTTATTTTACGAGTAATAGCTCCTACTTGTTGAGCGAAAGCTCATTTCAAAGTATTTGTATTGTACGTAAGCAACCTGCGCATAATGCTTGATAGACTGATGGCGAGGCAGCGGACGAGCGGAGTGGAGGTCGGGGAATGGATACCGCACGCAGTTATTTCCATAATAGTTTAAAGTTTTAAAAAGTATATTTTGTTAAATATGTCTATGAACTTATGTTTTGGAAGCTTGTAGTAAAATTGTTAAGTTGTGTAAGCTAACAGGATTTTGATAAGCAAAATATACCTATATGTAAATTTATGCTTTAGAAAAGGAATTGGTTTTGAAGTATAAACTGTTTGCTATGTTCAAAAGTAGAAACCATAATTTATGTCATTACAGTAATTTAAAAAAAATGATACAACATTCTATATAAAGAAATGAATGAAATAGTTTTTTTTAAGAGAAAGAAACTTATGCCCAGAATGCTACAACATTCGCATAGCATTTTGTTTCAGAATGCTACAGCATTCGTATAGTATTTTATTTAAGTTATAAAACAAAATGCTACAGCATTCATACAGCATTTTACAGTAAGTAAAAGAAAAAAAAAATTTGTCTCTCAAATTTAGGGAGTTTCAGAAAGTATATGTTAAAACTAGTTTCAGTGACGGTCAACTCAGCAGGGTCGTTACAATGGGTACCTTTTTAATGTTCAAAAATAGCTCGAACAGTTGAACTTAAGGATGAGCTAAACTCTAAAAGTTAGATAGTTTAACTCAATTCAAACAGAAAATATATTTGAACTGTCTCCTTACCAAACACAAATTTAAACTGTGCTCACTGTTCAAATTAAGTTAAACTGAATAAAACTAGTAAAATAAACGGGGGCTAAATGATATCATTTTATTTTCAAATTTCAAATCATTTGAAAACGTTTGGTTCATAGATTAGAATCATGAGATTAGAAATATTTTCGATTTACATGTATTTTTTGTGAGAGAAAATACTATAACAAATCATGAACCATGATTCAAATTATAATATGAATCCTCCAACCAAACGTCCCTAACTAAGTGGCATGTCGTGTCCGCATTAATCGGGGAGCAAAATCATTTTAAAACACGTCATTGCTGAAAATTGAACTGAATTATATAATAGAAAATAAAAGGTTGTGTGCTTGATAAGTCGTTTTCCATTTCAGTTTTCTTTTGTTGAAACTCGATACACGTGTTACCAGTAGAGTGTTGCAATCCAACTTATTGGTGGTTCCAGTTTGTACTTGTACTAGGAGGTTGAGTCGTTATAAGTGTGTTGCGGTTTTTCGTGTGAATTAGTATTTCTTTCTCTGATTTTGAATACAATTTTTTTTAGAAAAAAAAACCTTTATCAAAGAAATTGCTTTTTCTAATTAAGAGGAATTAAAGAACACAATTTTGTTTCTTATTGATCATTTGGAGGTTAAAAATTACCGAATTAACTTTCAATCGCCGGCTGCCGGCGGTTATTATTTTCCTATAATCCGTGGCATTTTGTTTTGTTCTTGGCCTGCATTTTCACTAATCTAATACCAATGAATCCAAAAGCGAATTGCAATACTTGATTATCACCATGTTCATTACGCGTGAGCGATCTTTACAAAGACAATCTCGATCTGTACAAAAATGTTTATTTTGGGGGACCATATATATATATATATATATATATATATGTATGTATGTAGGTATGGATATTCTAAAGGATCAACATACACTTTGCATCAACTACCCTTTCACACTCATTTTCCTTCAAAAGAGAAACGTCAAAGAGGAACAACATATTTTTGGAAAAGAAAAATATAAATACAGGGAAAGAAATGAACATATTTCGTGTGCTCCCCAAGCCTCAGTGGTCATTTGGACTTTGTGATTGTGGAAAAGATTTTTGCACATGTAAATAGTTCCTTCACTCTTTAATTTCTCTCATTAAGTAAAATTTAAACATGCACATACATTCTTATTTATTTTGTTACTTTTGACTAATTATTTGAAATTTACAGGTTTGTTAACATGCTGTCTTCCCTGCGTCACCTTCGGCCGAATTGCTGAAATTTTAGATGAAGGAAAGCATTGTTAGTACATATATAATTTCATACAGTTATTTTCCATACATCAAAATTGCCCTAGTACTCCTATAATCTCTGTTTTCTCTAGTAAACTAATTATTAATTAGTTGAATAATTATATAATCAACTAGCAAGTTATAAACAGAGGCCTTGATAAATTAATATTTCCATCAAAATCTTGAATAACTAAGTCGGCTAAAACAGCATGGTCTAAAAAGAAACACCAAATTTACTTTACTTTAGCTATATCAATTAAATATTAGGAAATTAACTTTATGCTTAAATGTAGATGTACTGCCTGGTACTTTGGTAATTTACAGTAACTTATGTAAAAAGATTTCATCGCATTTGCTATTTTAAACATGATTTGATTATAATATGATATGATCTGACGTTTAAAAACTTTGCACTATGTAGCATGTTGTTGTTTGGGTTGCGTATATTGCTTGTTGGCATCGGTCCAATTCCACTGGCTCTTCTCATGCCTATATAGAGAGAAATTACGAGCCAAATACGGTCTACCCGCGGAGCCTTGTTGCGATTGTTGTGTTCATTTTTGTTGTGATTCTTGTGCTCTCTGCCAAGAGCACGCCGAGTTGAAGGGTAGAGGCCTTGACCCTGCCAAAGGTACGACATACTTACCTATTAACTATAACATACCAACATTATTAATTAAACGACTAAATCGATCATTAGCTAACAAATTAAGCATTAACAATTTTGTCTCCAGTAATTAATGAGGCTAACATTGTTACTTATCTTTCTTCTTTGTGTAATACAGGTTATGCTAGGTCACAAATTTTCCCTCCGAGGTTCCCTTCGATGTTTAGATGATGTCCAAACGCTTCGAAAGAAAATCCTCCGTGCCTGCCGATTAGTAGTCATTGTGTGTCAATTTGTAACATTTTCTTGCTATAGTATTTTTATTTTTGCAATAAATAGTGCGAGGCAGTCAAATAATTACCCAATACCATTATTTTTTCACCAAGGTCGTTAAATGTCTTATTAGTTGAATACTTGTAGCATATGCGTGAGTTGTGTTCCAAAAGGACTTATTTTGTTACATCCTTATCTGTCCTGTTTGATTTGCGGCCTTTACTTATTTGAAGGTTAAAGAGCAAAGAATGATATGTTGGTATTATCTTGTAAACCCAATTTTACATCCCACCAACCATTCCTTAAAATGTACCTTCCATAGGACAAACTCTCATGATCAGCCTAATATTGTATACTAAATTGTGGAATTACAACAATACATATGTTTCCCTTACATATATATATATATATATATATGTTACTTTCTAGTTCTTTTCCATATTTTGTGTTTTCATGTTTGGACATTGCATTGACTTGAAACTTTCTAGCCCACTAATGGGGAAAGTGGGCTTGCTTTCACATGTTTTGACTGCCATATGATCTTGGGGTCAATAGTTTTCGCTGTTTGGGGCATTTTAACCAAAACGGTAAGAAAGCACAATAGCTTTCATTGTTTGAGGTATTTCGACCGAAACGACAACATTTTATCCGAAGTATACTAAGTTAGCAAGAAAGAGAATGAGTAATTGGTATCTGAAAAACCATTGAGTTAGCACCTAATAGTTATCTTCTCAGTACACTAAGCAACTCATTCAAATTTATTAAAGAAAAAAAAAAAGTAAATACAAAGATCAAAATGTAAAAGAAAAGTGCAACCCTAAAAGTAACCCATCTGATAAGATACTTAAAATTGAAAACCGACCGCTAATAGTAGAAATTGACCGCTAATAGTAGAAATTGACGACAAAAGGCTAAGTTGAAACTCCACCTTTAAAAATCAATTTCTAAAATAGACCTCATTAAAAACTTTATCAAAAAAATTAAAAAAACAAACTAAAGAGAAAAATTTGAGAAGGAAAAAAGACTTTTAGAATTTTAATGGGACAAACTACAAATTTCATTAGAATTTTATATAAAATTCTAGGCGGAGGTGCTGCCTACTATCCACTGCTCTACAAGACTCCATCCCCGATACTGACCATATGCCTCTGAGAAGCTTCATTGTTGGTAAATGAGAATGAAAAATGGAATTACAATAAAACTCTTAAAAATATTAAATCATAATAGGAAACGACTCACACCTCAATTTTGTATAATATTATCCGCTTTCTATTTAAGTCAGTATGGTTTTGCTCATAATTTTATCCCAAAAAAACCTCATATAATTAGGAGATAGTGCCTTACAAATCATCACTCATAATCTTCTCTAAACAACGTGGGACTGACCTTTTGGGAAAATGTCCTTGTTAGACATACTTCTTGTTAAGTGGCCTGAAACAATGGTCACGACTTCAAAGATGAGACCATAATTATTGAGGTTTAATTTAAAATTTAATTTAATTAAACTGGACTGTTTAACAAAAATTACAAAAATAAATACATAAATATCAATATAGTTTGCTCCGAAGACTTTCTTTTACAAATAATATTTAAAACAGTCCATAAAGTCTAAGGAAAATAGTACAACTCTATGACAATATCGACCAATACAGTTTATATACAGAAATACAGTACATCTCAGAATTAAAACTGTAAATCCGAAACAAACGTACCGCTTCGAATCTCGCACCTTCAATCTATTGGCATCCACTTGTCACTAGTGGTGGAACTTCGGGCCGGCGGGCTGCCCGAAGCTCGAATTTTTTCGAACTCGGGCGGGCAGGCCCATATGCCGGCCCATCCAAGGTGGAAATTCAGGCTCGGGCTCAGGCAGCCCGAATTTTGAGACCACGCCGGAGCCTGCTGCTGTGTAAGTGCCGTTGACCACCGTCCGCCGGAGTTTTTTTTAAATTTTTCCACCCATGCCCAACCCGCCCGAACTGCCCGAAAAAACGTTTAAAAATCCGACCGTTGTGCCCGGTCCGAAAATAAGCCCGAAAACCCGAATTTTGCCCGAAAGCCCGAGTTGCCCGAATGCCCAAAAACCAATCCAACGGCTACTTTTTTACCCGTTGCCGCTCAAAACCCACCCGACCCCGCCCGAACCCGACCCGCCGAACCTAACTAGCCGTTGCACATTGATTTTTTTGAAAAAAAATCAATTTTTTAACCCAAAAATTTCCCTATAAATACCCTCCATCCTCCAAATATTTTTCTTACTCAATCCCTCTCAATCCCTCTCAATCTCTCTCAACTTCTCTCAATCCCTCTCAATTTCTCTCAATCTCTCTCAACTTCTCTCAATCTCTCTCGATCTCTCAAATCTCTTTCAAAATTTTTCTAAAAACTATCACATTATCCTAAAGCTCTCTCTCTCAAATCGCTATTTTTTTTTATAATGGATCCTTTTGGTTATAGTGGTATTCCTGTTGATGCCCAACACAACATGGAAGAAGGGTAATTTCCCACTAATGAATTTGTTCCGCAAGAATCTACTAATCCGAGCCCTGGTGGACGTACTGGAGGTCGTGGTCGCAGTGGTGGTGGGCGTGGAGAAGCGATGAGTGCCAGTGCGACTGCGTCTGTAAGTGTTGCAACCTCTAAGAGGAAATGCAAGCGCACCTCAACAGTTTGGGATCACTTCGACATAATTCATGAGATCGACAATGAAGGTAGCACTAAACACATAGCTCAGTGTAAATATTGTTTATCTAAATTATAAGGTGACACTATTCACGGCACCACACACTTGAGAAGACACTTCGAAAAGTGTCTTCAAAAGCTTAGCCAATCCGGCAGATCCGAACTACACCAAACACAATTATCTTTTGATCGCGCAACCGGTGGTCTAACCGCTTAGAAATACGATCGGCAAGTAGATCGTATGAAAGTTGCACGAATGATAGCTGCTTTAGATCAACCACTTAGTTTTGTAGAGCATCCTAATTGGCAACGATATATTAAGGTTGTACATAATCCTAATGCACAATTCACTTCAAAAGCGTTAACGGCAGATATTTGGTCTACCATTGCAACAAATATTATTTAGCTGTAACCGGATATTATTTTAAAGGATTTGATTTAGATAAAAGAATATTAGGTTTTAAATGTGTTCTAGGATCACATAGCGCGGATTTAATATATAATATAATTTTAAATGTAATTGATGAATTTAGACTAAGAGATAAAGTAATGGCTATAACATTAGATAATGCTAGTGCCAATACAAAAGCAATTGAATTCTTCGGTAACGGTACAATTTTCCACCAACGTTGTGCAAGTCACGTGAACAATTTAATAGTTAAATCCGGTTTAAAAGAAATGGGTAATCACATTAAAAAAATTAGAGATAGTCTTGCATGGATTCAAGGTAGTAACCAAA